CTCTGGCAGAGGATCTAGCAGAAATCCCCTGACTCTCGGGAAAGGCACTGCCCACTGTGGGCACGGCAGGGCCGTGGGATGGCAGGGACACGGGTGCCACAAGGCTCCGGACTGGGAGCGGCAATAGATGGCTGGAGGAAGGATAAACGGCTCTCCGAAGGTGTTTGGCACCAGCATGGCTGGAAAAGTTCTCGCCACGCCAAAGCACACACGGCGCCTTGGATCTCTGCAGCCTTTCATTCCCCTGATGTTGCAGAACAGAATCTCGTGATTTATGGGGCTCTGCGGGGGTCGTTTCCTCCACTCATTCAAGGGGTCACGAAGCAAAACTGCTGCCTGTCCCCTCTGTGTGCCTGCAGAGCACAGGGGTCCCAGCAAGATGCCTGGGGTCCCTGCGTGCCGGGCAGAGCTGAGACCTGGGCACGTCCCCCTGGAGAGCTGTGCAGCAGGCAATGACCTGTGAGGGATCAGGGGACAGCTGAGAATGAGGGGGGCAGATTTTTGATCTGAAAATGAGTTTGTTTAGAGGTGTGTAAGTAGCCTAAGACTACTCTGGGTTTATTCCTCTCTGCCTGGCTCCAGTGCCCAGCCCCCCAGGGAGGAGAATGCTTTGCCACAGCCTGTGCTCACTTCAGGCTGAACACAGGGGCAGGAGCCTGGCTGTGGGGCTGAGGGTCACCGCTGAAAGCCAAGGAAGGCTGGGCCCCAGCTTCCAGATCTTTCTAAATTAAAAACACAGGAGGCAAACCGACACGACGTGCCCCTTTGCACACACGCCAGCATGATGCGGTCACGGCAGAGCGTGGCTGGAGGGTGGGGACGTGGGGGGCACTGGAGCCTACCTGGAGCTTGCCCACTGACAAGCAGCGCCCAGGTGATGCCCAGGCTCCCGGCCAGCCCCTCCTCACTCTCCATCTGTGAAAACTCTCAGCAGAGGAATGTGCTGCTCCCTCGGCAGCTAGGGCAGACTGGCTCTGCCTTCATCCCGCCCAGGACACCTGCCAGCCTCCTCCTCCCTGCTCTGTTTGTTGTTGTTCTTCTCTAGGACTGGTTTGGTTTTGGCATACCTGAGGCTGTGAAACAGGCTGAGGGGTCTCACCCCGTAGGTTCAGGCTTCTGCCCATGTCCAGGCGCTCAGCTGCTGCTGGTGGAGTTTCTCTGTGTCTGTTCCGAAGGCTTTCGGGTCTCTTTGGCCGGTGTGTTCCCAAACGCTTCACCTCCCAGTAGCTCATTTTGGGGCTCTTGGCACAAGCACTGGGCGGTGCTGCGACCTGCCGGCAGGCAGCGGCGTTGGCTGGGACTGTGGTGGCCCTGGGAGCCTCCCCACTGGTGCTGGGACACGGTGGGATTGCCAGGCACAGCCTCTGCTCCATGGCCAGGGAAGCTCTGGGTCAGGTGGGCTGATGCGACTCGTGCACAGCCAAATTATTGCTCGTGGTACCAGGAAAACACATCCCTTGGGAATGACGAAGTATTGAACAGGGTTGGGGCAGTGTGGCAGGGCTGGAAAAGCCATCGATATTAATGGAATTGTGGCTTGTATCAGCTAGTGTGGGACAGGGATCAATCCCCTCCAGTGCACAGACATGAGGTGTCCCTGCTGCAGAGGCAGCTCTGGTGCTACTGTTCCCCAACACCCCCACATAGGTCTCCAGCCCTGACTCTGTGTCAGGGACCCTTTGTTTGAGGGGACCTGATCAGCTACTTCTCCCAGAGCTACACACAACGGATTTGGCTCCTGAATTGTCACAGCAGCTTCAGAGACATAAAGGTAATTGAGCTCCTGAGCACATAGCTTGGCTCCAGGTGTCTCAGTCCCTGCAGCAATAGCTTATCCAAGCTTATTTCACTGCCACTTCCTTTTTGCACCAACAAATCCTGTCCCCAGTTTCCCCCAGTTTACCTGATGAGAGCCCAGTGTTCTCCCTGTCTGTGACATCCCTGTGTCGATACAGTTCTGGCTCTGGGAGCAGTTTGTGTGCTTCAGATAAAGAGATTTCCCTTTGCACAGCTCTTCCTGCTCACCTGATCTGACTTCCATCTCCCTAGTCACATGCTTTAGTCACAACACAGAAATTGCTTGTGTTTTTATTTCCACACACTCATCTCAGTGAAATCTTGCACTGAACAACCCTGTACCAGCCCCTTGGGCTGAAATGCCTTTCTGGGCTTTGCAGATGTCAGGTCATGGTTCTGCCCAAATAACAACTGTCAGATTATCAAGCAGACAAGGCTTCTGCCAAACAGACAAGTGGCTCAGCCAGCACAGCAGTGGCCACTAGCACCATCTCACCCACACCAAGAGGCAGCAGCGACACCACAGCAATGGAGTTATTTATTGAAATAACATTTGTTCCCATTTATCGAACACAGATCCGGCACTGAGGACGGGCTGGACCAACAAGGAGGGGTGCAGGTACAGAGCTGAGGACACAGAACACCTGACAGCTGGTTCTGCATGGCTGTAGCAGCCTGGAGTTACAGGTTTAAAGTGCTGCTCACACCTGACCTTGGAGAACTGGCTCTGCAGAGTTGGGTTGCTCTAATGGCTGTCTGACCTCTGGAAGAGACATTTCATTCTACTTAGCACCAAATCTAATTTTACAGTAAGTATAAATATACATATTTAAAATCCATTTAATCCATTAGTAATTTCTGAGCATTTACATCGGACAGAGTAAAAAATTTAACAAATGCTAAAAACAGCTTTTCAGTATCCTCTGAGACTCTGCCAAAAACTCAGTCATCACTGGAGCATGTGAGGAGTCGGTTTGTAAAGTACTGAGAGCACTTGGTGTGTAGTTCTGAGCCTGGTAAGGGTTAACCAAGTCTTCAGACTTGGGAAATGTGCAGGTCCTGGGTTGGTCCCTCATGTGACCCAGAGGGATCCTAAAAGTGCAAGTCTGCTTCTGTCACAGTGTGTGGCACCTGCACAGCTCCTGGTGGGCAATGCAAATGCTCATGGGTGGAGGCTGGCACTGCTGTGCTCCCGACCAGCAAGGCCTGAAGCCTTTCTGAGCAGTTCAGCTCCACCACAGCACTGAGGAGTACTGGTCCCCTCTTTACTGTGGCTATTCTCCTGTGTACAGACATGTCCAAATGGGTCATTCTGTGCTGGTCACTGGTTAACCCACCCTAACTGGGACCAAGAGCTTGAGTCATGACGCTCAAGCCAAGCTGCCAGCCCTGGGTGTGTGGGGATATTCCTGCAGAGGATTTCACGCTGCAGAACAGGCTTTGCTGGGCCCTCAGCCCAGCTCATTCTGTGCTCAGGCTGTTCTGACATGAAAAGCTGCCTTTGCTAAGGTTTAGGAGTACAAACACCTGCTCAGGGACAGCACAGACAGCAGCACCGTTATTAACATATTTACACCATAAGTTAAAGGGGCAGGCAGAGGGATCCAGCACGAAAGAGAAGCTGGGGCCATCCAGATAGCATTAGCCTAGTTGCTAGCAAGCTTGGGGCAGACAGAGAAGCCCCTGAGGGCTACTGATGCCTTGTTGTGCAGAGCAGGCTCCTGGGAAATCGCTGTTCCCTTTGCAGGAGGTGCAAATGGAAGCTGTGTCCTCCCAGTGCTGGACAGCCCTCGCTTGCTCTGGGCTAGGCTCCGTTTGCGCCGGCCTTGCTGCTCTGGGACGCTTCCATTTTGGCCTAGGGGCAAGAGAAAGGGGCAGACTTTAGGCAGCACCAATACAAAAGCTTCCAGACAGTCAAAATCTTTTCTGCAGGTGTCTTCCCATCTACCATGGGAAGCTGCTCTGGAGAGTAACAGCTGACAAAGCACAGAGATCTTCAGGGTACGGGAGATAAGTCAGTCTGGACTCCCAGACTTGCCCAAAGCAGCATCCCAGATGTGCACGTGAGCAGCTAAAGTGAAATCAAATATTCAGAGAGAAACTGGGCAAAAGAAAGCGCATCACTGCATTATTTTTTTACAGATACAAAGTGGCCCCTAACACTCTGGAGGTTCCAAGGAAAGGCTGCTCTGTCCTCGTGGCCCAAAGCAGATTATTAAGGAAGAGTACAGGGACATACAGGTAACCTCCCCCAGTGCTCTGCTCCCTCCCCATTTTGACAGATCCCTGCCACATGTTGTGTTTTTGTATTTAACAGCCCTCAGTGCAGTTGTCATCCAGTTTCTCCAGCTTCTCCTTCAACTCAACATTCATAACATCCTGTAGCACAAAATTCCACAGTTTGTGTTGTGTGAAGAACAATGTCCTTTGGGAAGTCTAAGAACTCTGACCAGCTCACCTCTCGTGGGGGATTAACCGGTGCTTCCGAGACTGGCAACTTCTCCATTGGCTGAGACACAAACTCTTCAGTCTTTAAGAAAAAAGCAGCTGTAAGTCACAGAACCCTCTTGGAAAGGTCTGGACCCCATGGAACCCCCTCTCCCTTCTGAGCAAGGCTGTTCCCTGCTCGCTCTGTGTTGGCATTCCCATCATTTCCGCAGTACAATTTATGTGGAAATATTTCTGGCAGTTGACACAATATTCTCCT